TTTGATTGCTGATGCATTGGCTACTCTGGCTGTAATGATTCGAATTAATGATAATATTGATATTCAGTCCATCAAGTTAGATGTTAAGGATATACCAGCTTATTGCTCTAATGTAGAGGAAGAAGAATATGGAAAGCCCTGGTATTATGATATCCTACAATATATTAAGGATCAACAGTACCCAGTTCAAGCAACAGAAAATGATAAAAAGGTCATTCGAAGATTGGCTATAAGTTTTTTTCTAGATGAAGATATTCTGTACAAAAAAAATCAGGATTAGGTGTTATTAAGGTGTGTAAGTAAGACTGAAACAAAAAAATTATTGAAGAGGTGCATAATAGAATATGTGAGGTACATACCAATGGACATATGATGGCGAGACAGATCATGAGAGCAGGATATTACTGGTTGACGATGGAGAATGATTGCATTGACTATGCTCGTAAATGCCATAAATGCCAGATATATGCTGATAAGATCTATGCTCCGTCATCTGTTTTACATGTTATGGCACCACCATGGCCATTCTCAATGTGGGGCATGGATGTCATTGGTCCAATCATCCCAAAGGCTTCTAAAGGGCACAGATTCATTTTTGTGATGATAAATTACTTCACAAAATGGGTAGAGGCAGCATCATATGCAAGTGTGACACGATCTGTGGTTTGTAAATTTATAAAGAGAGAGATCATCTATAGATATAGGCTTTCAAAGAAAATTATTTCCGACAATGCTAAGAATCTAAATAGTAAGATGATGCAAGAAATATGTGTTCAATACAAGATCAAGCATCATAACTCGATGCCATACCGTCCGAAAATGAATGGGACAGTTGAGGCAGCCAATAAGAACATAAAGAAGATTTTAGAGAAGATGACCGAGACTTACAAAGATTGGCATGAGAAGTTATCATTTGCATTACATGCATATCGAACGTCAATTCGTACCTTTAATGGGGTAATCTCATTTTTTTTATTTATAAGATGAAAGTTGTACTACTAGTGAAAGTAAAGATCCCCTTCTTGAGAGTTTTAAAAGAAGTTGAGTTGAAAGAAGTCGAATAGATTCAAGAACTCTATGAACAATTAAATTTCATAGAAGAAAAGAGATTGATTGCATTGTGTCATGATCAGCTATATCAAAGAAGAATAATGAGGGCTCATGATAAGAAGATTCGACCCCATTGCTTTTGAGAAGGAGAGTTGATCTTGAAGAGAATCCTTCTTATCCAATATGATAGTAGGAAAAAATAGACTCCGAATTAGGAAGGATAGTATGTGGTGAGATGAGCTTTTTCAAGTGGGGTGCTAATATGACTGAGTGGATGGAAATAATTTACCCATCCTATAAATTCTGATGCTGTGAAGAAATACTATGCTTAAAAAAAAGAAAAATAAAAAGTGAAAAAAAAATTGAATGAAAAAGGACTCAAGGCGAAAACTCTAAAAGGACGGTTTGAGTCATAGGAGGTTTGTCTAAGTTGAAAACCTGAAAAGGTAGCTTAGATAAAGAGAATACAGCATCAAATTTAAAAGTTCGCTGACATGAAGGCTAACAAATTCAAAAGAGTTCCAAGTTGTTAAATACATCAGAAGGTTGAGTTTTCATAAAAAACTTTAAGATGTGTTATCATGATTATCTGATTGTTCATTTTGGGCTTTATCCCCATAATTATCCCTGTAATTCTCCCTTGATCGAAATTAGCCAATATTTTGCTAATAAGAGACAATCTATTTTGTTCTTTGTGTCTTTTTCTGATGACTGTTTCTCAACCATTCATATTCCTTTCTTCCTAATACCCTACCATGGAAGAAATGTGCAAATGCATTCTTACTTTTTGAGTTTGAAATAATGATTGATGAGTGAATAACAACATGAAAGATTTTTACATTACATTGAATAAGTCAAGAGTGATAAAGGCAGAATCGAGATGTTCAGGTTTCTGATTAGGATATTGAATTTGAGAAGAGATTTCTTACATGAAGAATGTGAGTGGAAGAGACAATTAAGAGCTACACTGGCTCGATCTTAGAAGAGCAGTGTAATTGGATATTTGAAGAATCAAAAAGCTTGATGCCCAAGAAAAGAGCTTGAGAAACTTGAGTACCATACATTGAATAGGAATTAATTGGCCAACATTTGCATAGCATGCATTGAAATTCATATGCATTGCATAGTATATACTACTTTTAAGAAAGTATAATGTATAAATTCAAGAAGCAGGAGTGTTTCAAGATCCCACATAGAGAAGACAGATATGAAGATATTTTCAAATTTGAGAAGAAACTTGTCAGGTAAGTTTCTAATCCTTGAAATAGGATGTCTTTTGGTATCAGGATTGATTTATAAGACTTTTAGGCATAATCTCCTGAAATTCCTTCAAACACAATTTTCAACTCCTTTGAACATGATTGTCAAGGAGCAATTTACTTTCTAAAAGTCGTGGTGCCTCTGTTTAGAGGAGCAATTTACTTTCCAAAAGTAGTGGTGCCTCTGTTTAGAGGAGTAATTTACTTTTCAAAGTCGTGGTGCCTCTGTTTAGAGGAGTTCTAAAAGTCGTGGTGCCTCTGTTTAGAGGAGCAATTTACTTTTCAAAGTTGTGGTGCCTCTATTTAGAGGAGCAATTTACTTTTCAAAAGTTGAGGTGCCTCTAATTAGAGGAGTCATTTATTTTTTCAAAGTCGTTAAGCCTCTGATTAGAGGAGCAATTTACTTTTCAAAGTCATGGTGTCTCTGATTAGAAGAGCCATTTATTTTTTCAAAGTCGTTGAGCCTCTGATTAGAGGAGCCATTTATTTTTTCAAAGTCGTTGAGCCTCTGCTTAGAGGAGTTTTGATCAAATCTTAAAAAAAAAAAGGAAAAAAATGTCGAGTTGAGTCTTGATTGGGTGTCTACATCTTTGCGCAATTTCTGTTTCACAGAAAATGTGCAAAAAAGGGCAGCTGTAGACACCCAATTTGGTCCAGGCCCGGATCAATTGGGCTTGGCCCAAATAGGTAAGTCTATTTTTTTTTTGTATTTTACATTTTACATTTTACATTTTTATTTTATTTTTATTTTTATTATTGTTTTTATATATATATTTTTCTTTTATTGTTATCTTATGTATTTATTATTTATTTATTTATTACTACTATTTATTAATATATATATCCTTATTATTATTTTTTTCTTTTTTTGTTAATATTTATATATATATTTATCAGATTATATGTTATAATTTATCTATTATTTAATCTTAATTTATCTGTTAATTTTTTGATTTATCTAATTTATTTTTATTAATATTTTTATTTGATTTTTTTTTATTTTTTTGATTTATTCGGCTGTAGATTGGATTGGGATTTAATAAGAAAAGTCCATGTTGGATTCAATGATTGAATCCTGATCCAAAGAGGAGTTGAGATTGATCATAAACTCTTCTGATCAATCTCTATAAAAGGACCTTCAAAATCAAAGGAAACACACATAAAAACAGAAGGAAAAGAGTGCTGGTTAAGAGAAAAGGAGACACAGAGAAGAATTAAAGGCTAGGAAGGTTTTGGTGCGTTTAGAACAGCTCTAGGAATTAGCAAGAATTTTTACGATTTTTTTTGGGAATTTTTGGAAAATTCCAGATTTCGATTGAATTTTTCGACGAAAGTTGAATCTTTCGACGACTATTCCGGCCAACTTTGAAGTTTTCGGCCAACTTCCCAGTTTTCGATGAGAATTCCCAAAACCTGACTAACTTTTCGACGAACTTCTGGCGAAAAATTCAGATTTCGACGAAAATTTTCAGAATCCGGTGAATATTCAATTGGAGTTCTTCGGGATTCTAGAGAGAAGGAGGAGAAGAGAAAGAAAAAAGAGAGGGAGGAGGCTCGGTCTGCTGAAAAAATGAAGGAATCAGCCTTATATACCATCCCAAAACGACGTCGTTTTTACGTTAAATAACCTAGAGGATCCGCGCGTTTTGCCAAGATCCGACCCGAACGTCGACCCGCTTTTTGACCGGTGCGTGATCTGCCTCCCCGAGCCGTTAGCCGAGCCGAGCCAACGTTCCGAGCCGTGTTCTTCGAGCCGTTTTTCTTCCTTAAGCCGAGTTGAGCCGAGTCGTTAGCCGAGCCGCTTCAAATTTATTTATTTATTTATTATTATTAGATTAGGTTTATTTAATATTTCTTTTATCTTTATTTTATTTTTATTTTTATTTTTGTTTTACTTTTCTTTATTTTTTATTTTCACTTTTATTTTGTTTTATTATTTTATTTTCTTTAAATAAAATCTAAAAAAAATATTTTTGGGGAAAAGTTGAAAGTATCAATTTTCTTCGAAATTAAAGTTTCAAAAAAATATTTTTGGGAAAAAGTTGAAAGTACCAATTTTCCTTAAAAATAAAATTTTAAAACGATTTTTGAGGAAAAGTTGAAAGTATCAATTTTTCTCGAAATTAAGGTTTCCAAAAAATAATTTTGGGGAAAAGTTGAAAGTATCAATTTTCCTCGAGATTAAAATTTCTAAAAAATATTTTGGGGAAAAGTTGAAAGTATCAATTTTTTCTGCACAAAAACAATCATTCTTTTCTTCCTTTTTTTATTTAATGTTAAATAATTCGACGATGGAGCCTCTGCAAGTGAAACAGTTGTTTTTCTTGCATACTCCTGAGGTGAGAGAATTTTCTCAATTTTTTGCTAAAAGTATTAGAGTCAATTGAGAATAATTTTCAATAATTAATCACTTGGTAAATTTTTAAGGCTCATTCGATAACACAAATTTAAGCTGGTATCATCTTTTGATGGATGTTGTGAGGGTGCTATAACCTTTCTTACACGTAACTGAACTCCAAAACTTTGTTCTGATTAGTAGACCTGAACTTATTCTTTTAGGGACCCTTAAACTTAAGTATTCCCTAAAAAAATATATTTTTTAGATGATCAATCACACCTAAATAAAAAAAATTGATGTCGACCCTTTAAGTTAATTTCTAGTAATATATTCGTAGACGTTACGACAATATATAGTACAGATACTGAAAAACCTATGAACTGCGTCGTCTTCTCTTCCCTCCTCCTCTCTTCGCCTACTTTCATATGATGTGCTTACATCTCCCAATTATTTGATTTACTGCATTCAACTGAAGCTGACTCAACCCCAATGCTCCTCAAACCTTACCGAACCAGTTCAGTTGACTGGAAGCCCTCTCCAGTGGTTGCCCTTGCGACCAGCGCCGACGATTCTCAGATTGCGGCCGCTTGTGAGGATGGCTCCCTCGAGATTTGGCTTGTCTCTCCTGGCTCCGTTGGCTGGCACCATCAGCTGGTATCTAGGCTTTCTGCCTCATTATTATTATTATTATTATTGTTATATTATTATTATTATGTTGCTGACTTTCTGTAGACTATTCATGGGGATTCTACTTGTTGAGTTTCGTCGCTTGTGTGGTGTTGCGCTGGTTCGAAAGGCCTGTCTTCTGGCAGGTTGTTCTCCTCAAGTATTGATGGCTCAGTCTTGGAATGGGATCTTTTCGACTTGAAGCAGAAGGTTATTTTTCTTTTGCCATTTCTGATACTCCCTGCTTTATTAACATACTGGTTCAAGCCAACATGTCTTTATTGAATCTTCTATGTCAATTGCTTATGTTGGTTAATTTTTTATATATTGCTATGATCCAACGAGAGTGATACATGTTTGCACACATTCTTTTGATAGAATCCCCCAGATTTTTTTCTTTCTTTTTTTCTCATCTTTTTTATATTTAATGTGATTAAGCCATTATGCAGATAGTGCTAGAGTCAATTGGGGTTTCAATCTGGCAGATGGCTGTGGCACCCATTAATAAGCTGCCAGCTCTTGAAGAGCCGAGGTCTCAGCATCTTGGAAATGGGTATTTGAATGCTAAATATGAATATAATGATAGAAGTGATGGGGAAAGCTGTGAAAGTGAAGATGTTTCTGACTCAGAACAAGTTCATCAGAAACTAGTCGAGGATAGACATGTAGCAATTGCCTGTGATGATGGAGCTGTGCGGATATACACTATTTCTGATTCAGATAAGTTAATCTACCATAAAGCGTTGCCTCGGGTCAGTGGTGAGATATCTACACCTGATTGACTTTTCTTGCTAGGTTATTGCTTTTAGTTTTACTTAGAGCTTCTTGGTGCTAATATCATTTGCAGGACGTACACTAAGTGTGACTTGGAGCCATGACTCAAATAGGATATATTCAGGGAGTAGTGATGGGTAAGTTTGTCATCAAAGCGAATAGCATATGATACATGTTAGTTTATCTGACAGAAATGCATACTGTACTTACGATATTTCTTTTCATGCTTATAATTAATTCTATTTTACTGAACTTGTATGACCTGATGGTTAATACTTTACAGAGCTTTTGCACATCTTTTATTTCATTTAATCTTGTTTAGTGTAGTAACTTCTGTACTAACCGTCTTGCAGGTTGATAAGATGCTGGAATGCTGATTTGGGTCATGAAATTTTCAGAAGCACAGTTGCTTTTGGAGGCTTGTGCAGTGGGCCTGAGCTTTGCATATGGTCATTACTTTCTTTGAGGTACACATGGAATCTTCTTTGTCAACAGAGACATGCATGTGTACATAGATTCATAAAATGGTGCAATGTCAATGGTCACTGTATCATAAATGGTTAATGTGCTTTCTTTTGATGATTGGTTATTGTTAAATTCAGGTGTGGAACTATTGTCCGTGCAGACAGCACAGGCTCTGTCCAGTTCTAGAATGGTGATAATGGAACTCTGCTCCAGGCACATTCTAACCACAAAGGTGATGTGAATGCCTTGGCAGCAGCTCCAAGTCAGAACAGGGTGTTCTCTGCTGGGTCTGATGGACAGGTATTGATGGCAAGGGGGAGGGGGTGATGTCTTCACACTTTATTCTAAGAAAGGCCAAAATTTTAAAAGAAAAAAAAAGAAAGAAAATTGGTGTATATAGTTTTCACTTTTCAACTATCTTTTTTTTTTTTTTGAAATTATCTCCATCATATATTTATCTAGTTCTCTGTCACTAGTGTCTACTTGTTGCTATATTTTGTAGGTTATTCTTTATAAGCTTTCAAGTGAGTTGCTTCAGTCTAGTAATGACAAATCTTCTTTTGAAATGATGAAAAAATGGGTATATGTTGGTTATGTAAGGGCTCATACTCATGATGTCAGAGCCTTGACAATGGCAGTGCCCATTTGTTCTGAAGGTCTGTTCTTGTTTTTTATTCCATGTCAATTTATTATTTTATTTATTACAGTAAAATTTAAAGTTGCGTATTTCCTTCTTTAGTTAACCAATTTGTGCACGTATACTACTGGATTTTAAACATTTTTTTCCTTCTAATTTCTAGGCTTTTTATCTGAAGAGGCAAAAGACTTGCAAGGTAAAAAGGGGAAAAAGGTAAAAATAATTAGATGTAGGGAGAAGAAACCCCTTGATTTTAGTTATGGTAAATGGGCTCACTTTGGAGTTCCAATGCTTATCTCTGCTGGGGATGATGCGAAGCTCTTTGCCTACTCTGCTAAGGAGTTTACTAGGTTCTCTCCACATGATGTTTGCCCTGCACCTCAGAGAGTTCCAGTACAATTGGTCGTTAATACAAGTTTCAATCAAACTTCTTTTCTCCTAATCCAGGCTTCCTATTGGTTAGATGTTCTCTGTGTTTGTGTTCCTAATGTGGGTTCTGTTCCCTATGGTGGTCTCGTGACAACTAATATAGTGGCTCGCATTAAGAGTAAGGCATGCCGGAAGATCATTTGCAGTGCAATGTCTAACTCAGGGGAGCTTTTTGGTTATTCTGACCACATCAAATCCAGCCTATTTGCACTTAGTAGGCAAGCTGGCCAAAGTAAATGGACTATTAGTAAAAGGCAACTCCCTCAGGAACTTCCATCTGCACATTCTATGGTTTTTACCTCTGATGGATTACGGTTGCTGATAGCCGGGCATGATAGAAGGATCTATGTAAGTCCCCCCCTTTTTTTTTCCAAAAAGTCCCCCTCTTGGCTTTCTTATACTATCCATCTTATAGTAGCTATAATTGTGAGTTTTTGCCCTCAATTATGTATTTCTTGATATTTTTGCTTTAGTGAGTGGAGTGACTATTTTCATTCTCTGAAATAACTTGTAGGTTTTTGAGGTCTTTCACCTCTTTTCTCATGGCTTAGTGAATCACTAGATTTTCACCTCAAACCAGAACAATTCAGATGCTTTTAGCTGTAGAAACATTGTCTTATATTTTCCAGGTTCTATGTCGTGTAACATTTTTGCAACCCTAGTGTGTGTGTGTGTTAATGTGTACTCAACCCTAGTACACTTGCTTCTTGTAATATAATCTGGACATATGAAGGAGCAACCAAGGAAAGGAGTTTCCAATAGCAAAGTATGGAAGCTCCTTTAACCTCCATAAACCTCAGTTCCGCTTAATTATTCAAATTAAATAATAAACACGGTGTATGAGAGTCCACAAAATTCATTTGTATCTTATGTATGAACATTGTTAATTACTTGGTATTACAGATTATAGATTTGGAGAGCTTGAGACTACAGCATACCTTCATACCTCGTTGTGAGGAGCATGAGAAGGAAGGACCACCTAGTGAGCATCCCATAACAAAAATGTTTACGAGTTTTGATGGCCAGTGGTTAGCTGCTATCAATTGCTTTGGAGATATATACATATTCAATCTGGAGATAGAAAGGTAAGAAATTACATTAGATACAATTCTTAATTGATGTTACTTAATAGCTATCTAGTTGACAATGCCGTTTCTAACTGAAACCTATAAATGACCATGTATGTGAGGTGGGCTGAGGTTGAAAGCTTTTTGATTTTTCATTGCTTTAGTTTTCTTTGATTAAGTCTTGTTTTTCATCAGGCAACACTGGTTTATATCAAGATTGGATGGCGCCTCTGTTACTGCTGGTGGCTTTTCTCCTCAGGATAACAATGTGCTTATTATCACAACATCTTCAAACCAGTTCTATATATTTGATGTGGAAGCTAGACAATTGGGAGAATGGTCCATGCAGCATACATTCACGCTTCCCAGAAGATACCAAGAATTTCCTGGGAAGGTTATTGGGTTAACTTTCTCCCCTTCATCATCCTCCCATCCATCAAAATCATCATCGCTCGTTGTTTATAGTACCAGGTACTGTTCTTATTCTGTTTTTTTTTTTAACCATGCTGCAGTGGTTTAAGAGGTACTTCTGTCATGCTGTGTCTATACTTACGTTGTCATTGTAGCCATATCTTAATAATTTTGACCAGCGTGATGCACACCACCAAGATAGGACATAACGATGGATCTTGGTGCTTTATTTTCTTCTATTTTTTCTTGAGTTCCCAGCAATGGTTTTTACACTTAGCACTGGTAGCATATTGGTTTCTTCCATTACCTTTTTATCCTTACATAATTAATTTTCTAGTATTTTGCTAATATGTTATCTTAAAACTAACAGGCTCATCTCCCACCAAAATTTTGGGGCAGATTAAGTGTCTTTTTATTGCTTTAGGCTTTTTGGAGATCTAGTAAATTTATGGTCCATTCATAATTTCAAGGGAGATATGCTAAGTTTGGTGGGAGACATGGAGAAATATTCCTCGTGGCTAATTGTGTTGCATTTACTGTTCTGTTTTGCTAGTCATTTTTTTTTCAACTGGATTATTTTGTTATAAAAAAAATCCTAGTTGGCTTCAAATCGTTATTTTGCATACCCTGGAAAAATTTCACTTTTGTGGTGCCTAATTTATTTTTTAAGCATTTAATGTATGGAATTTGTAACTGCAGGGCAATGTGTTCAATTGACTTCGGGAAGCCAGTGGATCGAGATGATGACAGTGAGTTGGTAAATGGAGCTTTGCTGAAGTTTCAAGGTTCTCTCACCAATATGAAATGGAAAGAATTGTTGAGAGATTGTCAAACAGAATCTAAACTTGTAGAAAAAATAATTTTGATTTAATTATTTTCCGGGACCCTGTTTTATTTATTGGGCACCTCTCAAAACATTCCATCTTGATCGTAGACAAACCATGGATGGAAGTGGTTAAATCTTTTGATGCTCCACCTGTTCAGAGACATATTTTTGGGACATAAATGCATGTGGAAGAAAGTTTGTTCACTGCCTTCCTATGGGAAAATTCCCTCTTCGGAGTCCCACTCGACTTTTATGTAAATGGGGTGGGGGTTTGAGATCCCAATCATCTTGTGTGTTGTAGTCCACAATTTTTGTTAACGAGCTTTAGGTTTTTTGAGGTGATTTAAATTGTTTTGTTATATATATATATATATATATATATATATGTCCCAAAATAGGCTATTATTTTGTTCCAGCCGGCACTACTCAAACGTTGTGTGATGTACTACTGCCATCAAAAGCAACAATGACCGGAGAATTACAGATTTTGAGCAAAAAAAAATTTTTTTAAATCGATTTAGAAAGCCTTTTCCCACGATACTAGGGATTCTGATAAAGAAATTTTCATTCACTATTGAAAAGGTAAAAGAATCGCCAACCAGAAACTTGGAAACTCAAAAGGAGTTAATTATAATTATGATGGCATGAATACTAATATGCTTGATTAGCATAGTAGCAACCCTAAATAAATTATTTAACATCATAAATTGTATGTAAAACTTAGCAAATAAGCATGCTTCACCACTTTTAATAATATTATAAAAATATTATTAAATATAATTTGTTAATTTTTTAATAATACTTTTAATGTAACCGAATCTAAATGGGTTGAACACAAACTCCAAGTTCATATTTAGAGGTGCTAATTAGGTCGATCCATCCTCCAATTAGTGGTAAATGGTAATGTAAATATCCCACGTGCAGCGAGTTTCGATTGGCCTTCTCTCTACAGAATGTCTCTCAATTAAAGCGTAGTTAGTAAGAATACGATGCCTGGATGACAGCGAGCCACCGCAAGGCCAACAACTTAATTAAGATTTAGAAGAAAAACCAGAGTTGTGAGAAAAAAGAAGAGCGGTTTAGCGGTGAGACAGAGCTAACATCTCTCAGCATTATATATATATATATATATGCGTAGATTATATTAATTAATGTAATTTTTTTATTTTTTATTTTTAAATAAATTATTAAATTTAAAATAATATTTTTTTCAAATAAATTTTAATTTTAATTTATCTTAAAAATATAAAAAAATATAAAAATTATACTAAATCAAGTGCATCTCTGTTTAAATGCATTTGCACCGAAAATTATAGTGTTTTTAGCCCCAAAATCCAATTTTTTAGTTTGGATTGGAAGCGCGAACAACATAAGGCTTGAATATACTAATAATAATAATAATAATAATAATAATAATAATCGTAGTGTTAAACGTGAGGACAGGGGGGGTGAAGAGAGCAAATGAAAGGTTGGGGTGGTGGAGTTGCTTCCTCGAAGCGCCGATGGAGAGGTCTGGCCATTGGCGTCCTCTTCCTTGTGATCCTCTCAATGCTCGTTCCCCTTGGATTCTTGCTTGGCCTACACAATGGCTTTCACTCTGTAGGTGCGCGACCCTTCTTCAATCTTACACTTACAGATCTGTTTTTGATTAGGGCATCTGCATCGGCAGCGCTCATTGTGTCCGATCAGAGCCGGAGTCCTAGATCTAGATTTCACTCAGTCTTTTCTCTTTATGTATATATTTTCTCCTTGTCCTACTCTGCATTTCTACTTTAACGCACGCTTGACTCATAGCAATATGAACCAGATCTCTGATTCTACTCAATCATCCATGCTTTTTTACCTACTTCTCGTTTCATTTACGCTTGACCTGTACCTCTGCAGGATTTATGTCTCTTCAACTAGCTTCACCTTCGGTAAGTATTTTACATTGCTTGTCCATTCCATTTACTGGCTTTCACTCTATTTATCTCTATGTACTTTCTTTTCTATTAAACTCTTGCCTATATGGTTTTTGAGGCTATGATCCCTATTGAACCAAAATTTTAATTTCCGCCCTCTCATTAGTTTTGGTTGCAAAAATGTGAAAGTTTTACGCTTAAATCAATTTCTTTCTTCATTTCCAAATGCAAATGCATTTTGTCCAAAAAAGAAATGTCAAGTTAAAGTGGAAATCAAATGAAATGATCTATTTTCGTCTTCTGGAAAAATTAAAATAGTCGTACAATAATATATCATTCTCTGAGTTTTCTGACAGGGGGATCGTTCAAGCCATATAGATAACCTTGTGAGGAAATTAGGACCTACTCTACCAAAGGTTTGTTTGCCATTATGCTACTTTATGTGTGTGTTGTTTCTGGAATATGATGTGTCTTTCCTTTCCTTCCCTCTTCCACTAGCCCTATAATATTTATGATTGGTGTTCATAATGCTCAAGTTTTTGCATCAAAATTATAAATGGTTTGGGGTTTTAATACATTGGATTTCCAGTAGAGTGATATGTGGGAAATTTGGATATGCTTTGTTTGGCTAAGGTACTGAAACTTAGTTTCTTACCAATTACTGAGACATAAGACAACCAACCCATGTGGGCAACTAAACTCACCCTGTTTCCAAGTTTATCCTTCCCTTCCTTCATCGATCCTATAGATGATATGGTCAAGGAATTGGCATGACTAATATTAAAGATATATTACATTTTGCTCTACACAGATGCCTCTCGTAGTCATAGCAAAACTAAAGAGTGATAAATGAATGATATTAAGATATGTGAGACCGGAAAATAAAGGAAAATCCTTGTTTAGGTAATTGGAGACAGATAGGACAGGGTAGGATAGAACTTTCTTTTCACCTCTTGATTGGTATTTTTAATATTGTATCAAAAAAGGAAAATAAACGAACCTTTTAACTGAGTAAGAAGCTAAATTATTCAGTCATATTTCAAAATAGAATAAAATTATGTTTGTTTCTCTATTTGAGAATAGAAATAAGAAAACGGGGAGTTAAATGAAGGTGAAAGATGATATGCTGTTATGGAATTGTTTCAGAGAAAATTTTTCTAATTGTGGTGAGAGCTTGTATCTTGTATTAAGATGTTGCAACTTTACTTATCATTATTCTTTATCCTTTCAGTGGTGTTTTTAGTTTTTTCAAAGCCCCACTTCCTTGACTAAAAATTTCTCAAACCCAAAATTCTATGAAGAGTCTTTCATTGTTCTTATTACTCTTTTATTTCAAACTAAGCATTGGCTCTTTTGATAACCATTAATGCCTAAACAAAGAAATTTGATATATTTTTTTATCAAAACAGAAAGAAAAAGAAATTTGATACATAGGTCCTATCATATAAATGGGAAGTCCTTGAATAGCTATTTGTTCTCTGTTGTCCTTATTGTCTGGATATACCAACCAAGTTCCTTTAAGCAGACACTTTTGGAAATATGTAGATTATTCTTGCTTTTTCGTTTTTGTTCCTCATGACATGTTCTGGTTATTTTGGTTGCATATGAGTTTGTCACTACCATTTAGATAATGTAGACTCTGGTGCCAAAATATTAAGGTTCATAGATACATGTCTATTAGTAAATGAACAGCTTTTTAGTGGGGCAGCTGCCCTCACTCAAATCCTAAACTATTTTTAACATATTATCAAAACAATTAGAACTTTGGTGACCCCTTAGTTTTGCCCCTGTTAAATTTGGAAAAATTTTCGTTTTTCATATATTAAAAAATAGAAAATATTCAGAATAATCCATGTCAATAATCACTCCACTTAATAGTTTAAATCATGTGATCTTATTTGTCAGCAATGTATGCATATTGCTGAAAAGTTTGTTATGTGTTACAGAAAATTTTTTAGTGTGTATATTTAACATCTCAAAATAATGTGATTTTCTCTCACAGATTATTAGAGTTAGTGGTAAAGCGGGAATGAAAGCCTTTGTTGATGAAAACGAGGGATTATGTGAGTTGAAATATGGGAGCTACTGCATTTGGAGTGAAGAAGATAGGGAAGAAATGAAAGATTCCATAGTGAAGAAATTGAAGGACCAGCTTTTTATAGCCAGGGCATATTTTCCTAGCATTGCAAAAATCCCAGCCCTGAACAAGTTGTCCTGTGAACTGAAACAAAATATTCAAGAACTAGAGCGTGTCCTAAGTGAAAGCACTACAGATTCTGATCTTCCACTACAGTAAGTTATGGTTCTTTTTTCATGACATTATAAAATTCCATGAATAAGGCCAATTATTACAGGTTTGATCATTTACTGACTAGAAATGTTAGTTTACATGTACAATTTTGTACTCCCTCCTTTTCAAATTGAATGTCCACTATGGCACAAAGCTTTAGGAAATGGAGTATTTTGTCCCTTTATAACTTTTACCCTTCAAGTGTCCTAAAAGCTGGAGGGGCCACCTTAAGTTAGTATTTCAGTGAAGAGCAACATTGGAAAATGTATTTGATTGGGGAAAGTTGACAATATATTGACCCATTCAAAAATAGTAAAGTGGACATTCAGTTTGAAACAGATGTAATATATGGACAATTCATCCTTTTGCACTCCGATCTGTTCATTCATTTCCCTCCTTGCTACTTTATCCAAATCCAGGATCACGGAATTTTATCTTTTCAGCTTATTTAAGATTATTCTTTTAATAATTGGCTGCCATATGTTTGCCTGAAAGACTATACCATGTTAGATGTTTATCTTTGACCTGATATGCTAACGTGTTGCATCTGGTAGAACTATATCATTCCTGCATCGTTTTTAAATGCCTGTTGTAAATGTTCCTGGTGAGTGCTGATTTGGTATAACCTGAGCACACTGGAGCAAGCTTCTTATACTTAGTATTGATTTATTTAGTACTAAGTCAAGCTGCTATAACAAGTAGTATTAAGTTAAATGGCCTATCCTAGCAGTTTAACTGAAGTTATCATTTTAGATCGTAAAGATATCTCCAAGTAGGTTCAACATCTTTGTGGGTAATGCAGTGTGCTTTGGCCCAGCAGTTTTCTTGCCTTCTCTCTCTAATTCTGTCCTTTTGGTAGATTGGTCAGATAAATAATGGCCACAATGATCCTGTGTTCTTTAGCAAGCCAGAAATGTTCATATTTTTTGCCTATGCATCAATTGTGTTTACCTGATATATCAGGATTGAGAAGAAGTCACAAAGGATGGAAGCTGCAGTAGCCAGAGCCAAATCAGTCTCTGTGGATTGTAATAACGTTGACAAGAAATTGAGACAAATATTTGACCTGACTGAGGATGAAGCTAACTTTCACATGAAGGAGAGTGCCTTTCTCTACCAACTTGCAGTCCAGACAATGCCCAAGAGCCTGCATTGCCTGTCTATGAGACTAACCATGGAATATTTCAAAGACCACTCATTTGATAAGGAGCTGTCCTAGAAATATTCTGATCCCTCGTTGCAACACTGTGTTATATTCTCCAATAATGTCATTGCATCATCAGTTGTAATAAACTCAACTGTTATGTATGCAAGTGTAAGTCGTAGTTATTCTTTGACATCATTTCATTTCTATGCTTTAATTCTAATGGTGATGCTGACTGGTTATCCTGCAATATTTCAGGACAGTATGATCCAGGTTTTTCATGTGCTGACTGATGAACAGAATTACCATGTGATGAAACTTTGGTTCCTCAAGAATACTTTTAAGGATGACGTAGTTCAGGTGTTGAATATTGAACATAATAATCCAGATTATTATGATAAAGCAACTCTATCTCACCTGACCTTACCTGTGGAGTTTCGAGTTTCCTTTCACAGCAGTGATAATGCCCCAGCAACCCATAATAGAACATATTATGTATCTATTTTCTCTCATTCTCATTATCTTCTTCCTAAGATATTCAAAAAGTTGGAGAAAGTTGTGGTTTTGGATGATGATGTTGTTGTCCAGCAAGACTTGTCAGCACTATGGAGCCTCGACATGGGAGCGAAAGTGACTGGTGCTATCCAAATTTGCTCAGTGAGGTTGGGTCAGCATCGGAGTTATTTGGGTGAAAGCAGCTTCCAAAAAAAATTCATGTTCTTGGTTGTCTGGATTGAGTGTAATTGATCTGGTTAGGTGGAGAGAGCTAGGCATTTCTGAAACATACTGGAAGTTGGTGAAAAAGGTGCGTGAATGCTTATGTTGGATAATATCTCTTATAAGTTCAATTTCATGTGCAAAACGCTGTTTTAAAAATGACATTAATCATACATTACTTGGTATGCAACCAAGCTCTAACCTAAATCCTTTTTAAATGTGTTGTATGTATATTATGCTACATCACCCTTGACAACAGTTTTGTAGTCCAATATAATGTAGAAAAAATGCATTTATCAATCAATTGAGCAGTTAGTAGTTTCGAACCGATGATTAGAACAACACAGACGTGAACTGCAGGTCAGCATGAAAGAGGGATCTGCTTTGCTTGCTAGCTTGCTTACGTTTCAGGATCTAATATATGCTCTTGGTGGTGTGTGGGTTTTATCGGGCCTTGGTCATGACTATGGGCTTAATATTCAAGGCATCAAGAAAGCTGCAGTGTTGCACTATAATGGAAATATGAAACCTTGGCTTGAGCTGGGAATTCTCAAATACAAGGCGTACTGGAAGAAGTTTCTGAACCATCAAGATCAATTTCTAAGTGAGTGCAATGTAAAATCCATAATGAGTTGGTTGTCAGGTTGACTCTTTGAATCCTTGGAAAATTGAGGGCTCAAGGAACGAAGTGCCGAGAATTTTGACATTGAGCTAGAGTTTTGAAGTTATAGATGGCAACAGTGTAGCTGTGATGAAATTGGTGCACATATTTCATTAAATAAAAGGACTGCGAATCCTTGGGGTTGAGTTCCCTGGAGGTGGTTTACAGTTGCTTGGGCAAGATGGATTTGAGGTTTTCAAGTGATTGTTGGAGAAATGCCGAGTTAGAGGAAGAGCTTCATTATCTGCTTCTAACTTTGTCTGGTGCAGTGAATTAATGTGAGAAACCTTGACAAAAAATCATATACGGAGAAGGTTGTGATTTGCATGTCTGTTCCAAGGATTTTCAATGACCATTCAAGACAATTGCATGGTTGTTGGTGAGAACAGAGTGGTGATGTGCCCTTCAAATTTGGATTTTCTACATGATTAAGAATTTGTTTTGTTCTTTAGGTAAAATTGTTTTGTAGTTTAGGTCATGAGGAAAACAGTAGTCAACTAATTAATTCTCCAATTAATTTGTATTATTTGATGGTGGATTTCCCTATGTTCAGATGAATTGACGTAGTGCTTGCTGGTTTGTCATATAGATTCGCATTGTTTTCCCTTTGTTTTTTTTTTTGTCTTAATGCATTTTTACCGTGACAGTATACCGTAAAGCATACTCTGATCATGAGTTGTCCAGAGCGCTTGCAGATATGGCAGCTTCTCTTGTTGATTAAGCTAGTCAAAAGTACGCTTGAAGGAACCAACCAAAAAGTAAGTTGTGCAATTACTAATGGAGGATATATATATATATATATATATATATTTATATATTTCCTTTTGTTTTAATTATTGAGGTTCGGTTTTGCTTTGGAATTGAAATCCATGGCTTGGTGCATGATACTTTGCTAGTGTCTCTCGTTCTCAGCCACCAATGTTTTATGGCTGCAAACTCTTAAAATCCTTTGTCCTTTTCTGTTTGTATTTCTATCTACGGTGTCTGTACTGATTCATTTACTTTGAATTTGATGACCTTTCTTTTCTATTTGCTTTTGTAAATAAGAAAACAAGTTGAACGCCTATCTTCGTTTATTTAGTACTCCCGTTTTTTTATCACCTTTCTTTTCTATGATGCTTCAAAACAAAGTTTTTTTTATCATTATTTTTTAACACTTCATACTCTTATTTTTTATATTTAAAATTTATATTTTAACTTTTTTAGTTTTTTTACAATAAAAAATTATGATAGATCAATATTATAAAAAATATTAAATACATAAAATTAAAGTTTTTAATATGTGAAAATATAGACGGAATGAGACGGACAACTTGTTTTGTGGATTCCATTTTTATGAAATAATAAAGCGCATAGAGCCTCTAAAACATTGCTATAATAACAACTTAGCTTATGCTTGTGGGGTTTAGGGGATGCGTCATCTGTTTCGTTCAACCAAAAGCTTGAAAGCACTAATAAATATACGTAATAAAAAAGGAAAAAAAAAAAAAACACTTTGTTCTCAGAATAATACAAATTGTATGAGTAAATGGTGATTGGCAACACAATCCGATCCCTTAAAGCATAACTGTTCCATCAAGAGTCAAGACATACAATCTTAAATCTAAATCTAAGCTGCAGAGCCAAGAACATACTACGAAAGGAAAATTAGCTAGCGGGAACAGCGGTGGATAGTTGTTGCACCGGCAGCATTAGCATCGAAGGGCCTCCAGGCAGAAGCAGTAAGCAAGCAAAGGTCTTTCCAACCAAGTTTGAGGGCGCCATTGTCCTCAACCAAGGTATAACCATCAGACGGGAACATGCCTAAGAGCAGCGTGGCCTGCGTCGCTGCATTACCAGCAAGAGAGATGCCCTTGAAGCCGGACTGCTGCAGCTTCTCCCTCCAATTATGGAATTTCACCTCCTGATCACTTCTGGAAGGGCCTCCTAGTGCCAGCACATTTCGTATCTCCTTGGAAAGTAGCTGCTGCTCCACCACGTGCCTCTCCTGGCTCTCCTCACCGTAGCTTGCTCCTAGGGAATCAAACAGGGCTGAGTAGTAGTGTATGGCTTCCACAAACCTTCCCAAAAATGAGCCGGCGTGGCTCAAGTCCTGCTCTACCACCGTCACTACTTTGGGTGCCAATCTGAGTACCTCAAAAGACATTATATTCGTCAACACAACGCACGTGTTAGGGCAATTAGATTGCCATACTACTAATACTATATATGCTCTGGTCGAATATTGTTTTTAAATTAATCAAACGTTCTAATTAAACTTCAAAAATCACAAGAAAATTAACACCGCATGAAAACAATCACTTTTAAATATCCATATGACCAAAGGATTGATGTGCTTCCACATACAACACCTCAGTTACAAACGTTATATAATCTCACCAAAATTAATTAATGTTCTTGTTTAACTATATTAAATGAAAACTAAGATTAGCAAAACTTGATTTATGATGGAGATTGGAGAGGGCAGACAGTGCAAAGTTTTATAGGAGTCAAACAAGCAAAACAGGGTCTTTTATTTAGATTTCAATTTATAGTCATGGATAGTTATGCTTCAGACAATCGAAGAATTTAAGCAAACAAAACAAAACAACTTTCATTTATAGTTAAAGAAGTGGGCAACAAATTAAGGTGAAAAGAAAAAGCGACATGAGTGTGTATTTGAGATCCTGGCCTTGCGCATCTATAAAATTATTAAGAATTATGAGTTAACTAAGTCTAAATGAACAGTAATTAAACAATGAAAAAATAAAAATGAAATTTATGAAAGCAAAGGCGAGCAAGTGAGTAAGGACGTCATTAGTCACCTCTGCAAGAGCCACAGCGTATTGGTATCAGAACCAGTTACGTCGTAAAGAGAGTGCTGCAGCCAGTGAACTGCTACTGCCTCCCTCTTGCTCACGTTGAGCCTCTCGGGTTCCAAATTCCCTACTTTATCTGCCACCGGGCAAAATTCGAACGGAAGCCCCAGTTTGTCCGCAAAATCAGATAAACGCTTCCCGGTCGCCTCCAGGGCCTCCAAGGAGGTTCCCAGCCCCGTGAGGCGCACGTGCGGAGGCCCGCCTGGTCTTGAAGCAAGAATGTGAAATAGCCCAGGCCATTGCAGGCCTTGCATAATGTCAAGATCTATTATGTGCACTCTCTCCTCCCTCTCGAACGCTTCTTGTATGGCTTGATTGGCTGTGAAATGCGAGAACTTGACGAATGGACTTATACCGTTGAACACCTGGAATGCCGATACCATCTTTTGGGTATGGCTCTGTGGAATCGATGGCAGCGCAGCGCAGATTCCCAGGCACGAGCTCACCAGCCTTGCCGACATAGCCTCAGAGAAATATGCTGCCACGCGCTGAGCAGACGTCCCAAACGGCGTTGATAGTTGCGAGAGCTCTAACAGCATCCTATTTGCTTCCTCAAAGTTATTAGCTGAAACCGCCTCAGCACACTGCAGGAGTAAAGTCAGGAGGTGCAATCCTTCTTCGTCTTTCTTCTGCTGCCGTAACTCCTCTTTCCTGTCTCTAGCGCCGCATGCTTGGACGGTTTGAACAGTGGACGTGGGCGTTGTAGTAGCCGTCGAGGTGGTCTTCTCCACTGGGGAAGGGTTTTCTGCTGGCGGCATCTGCTCTTGAGTCTGGTGGTGCTGAGGTACTTGAGATTGAGTCTGATTTAGCGAAAGAACCGGTGGTGTGGTCGCAGAAGGGCTACTGCTAATCTGATTGTGATGGTGCTGTTGGTTGTTACCTGTGGCTGCGCTGTTAGAGATGGGAAGTGGAGTTAACCCCCAGTTAAAGTACTGACTCATGGCACAAGATTCGGTCAAGGAATAATTAGGAAGGCTATCTAGGGCGGAGTCCAAGTTAAGCGTGAGTCCAGAGGAGCCTTGTTGTTGACTATGGTGCCTCTGCAACAAGCCCTCGGGCAGATGCAACGTTGGCGCCTCCTTCGTTTTCCTTTCAAGTGGATCCATTAGGGATCGAAGCCTGTACTCGAGAATGGCAGCGAGGTTTGAGTTGCAGGGGTAGATGATCTCCCGGACGTTGTGGATGAGCTGAGAAATGGAGACGTTAGAACAGGTGTGGATGAGGTCCCTTATAATGCCGTCTATCCATGGCGTGGCCGAAGTGTCATCCATAGAATTCGAGATCGGAGTTAAAGAACCAGGAGCAGTAGTTGCTGTTGTGGTGGCAGCAGCGGCGGTGTTTCGGTTTCTATCTGTTGGTGGAAATAAGGGCAAACCCGAGAAGCCACAAACGGCAGGGGGCTGAGGATTATTTGTGGAGAGGGTGTCGATGCAAGTAAAGTTGGAGGTGGTTGTAGATAAAAAAGCAGGTCCGCCTGACGTAACGGTGGTGAAATTTGCAAAAGGGATTATGTTTGTATTCATATTCGTAGTGGAGTGGTTGGGGAGTGGATTAGGGTTATTATTAGTGGTTGCCGCTGCCAAGAAAGAGCAACCCATGTTCTCAGATGCAAGGCTGCGGCGAGGAAACCTGTGGTAGTCAGCAATCTCAGAAGCCATCCTCTTCCTCATCATTTTCCTCTCTGATGTATTGCTGTTGGATGCGCTTGTTACTGGGTTTTCAAGGCTGTTGCTGCTGCCTTTGATTTCACTACCATTTTCACCTACAAAATCACAAGCTGCCATGAACAACAAGATATTCGCTCTCGCTCTTCATAGTGGGGGATCAAAGCTTACTGACCGCTGCACGTTACGCATTTAAGTAAGCTAACACTAATAAGTTAAGTACTAGTAGTCTATAATATTACGATAGGAGGTGCGAGCAACAATAGGGGCATCCAAACAGAAAACGGTACGAGAACAGGGACAGCGGCTTTGGAATTCCCCTCACTTGCTCAACTCTCTAATCTTAGCACGCCCTTCTATGCTAGCTAGGCCTAGAACTAATTTGTTTTGCTTTCTTCTTTTTTTTTTCCTGCTGGTTTTTTATATATTCTTCTTTCCTGCTCTCTTTCTTTTCTTTTAGGAAAAGCAAATATTTTAATGCAAGTACGCCATAGCCATGCCTTGTAAATTTTGATAACTGGAAGGAATTGAAGAAATTATTTTATATATAATAAGAAGGAAGAAGGGAGAAGGATGGTGGTAGTGGGTGGCAGTTAGCTAAACGCCCTGGTGTGGATGAATTTATTGCGACTGGCAAAATGGAAAGTGGCAAATATTATGAATGAAACGTAACACTATTCATGAATCAATATGATATTGAGGGTGTAGGATATTCAGGCATGTTGGTAATAAAAGAGTAAAATTAGGCAGAGAGAGACAGAGGGAGAGAGAGAGAGGGGCAAGTAAGTTGGTGGGCTGTCAAAGAAGGAAGCAAAGCGAAGCAGCGAAGACTTTGTGGATTGGTGTTGTGCTGGGGATGATAGCCTGTTGTTCGTCGTTGCCTGTTTGACGTCTTCGCTAACGCTCTTCCAACGTCCATTACTTCAATGTATTATACTCCCCCTCCCCTTACCAAGCAAAGCAGGCACACCGCAAACCCAATTTCTTGCATTCTTTGCTAAGTACTATTATTTTCTTTTTTAAAATTAAATTAATCACCCACCTCTGCAATACATCATATATAATTTCTTTTAAAATTTTAAAATTCGTTTTAACCTGTAATTTCTTTTTTAAATCATAAATTTAATTTTAACCTGCGAATCTTATTTGCAGAAAAAGCAGGTCTGTAAGAATTAATGTGCAAGCAAGCAAAACTCGTTTCCTGAATGTGAAAATGACCGATTTTATGGGAAGCATCCCTCTGCCAGGCTCCACGGATTAAATTTGCAGCACTAAAATTTATTGACCCTACATTTGATGCAATGTCATTGATATTATGTTATATACCGAATAAACAAAAAAATCTTATAAAAAATTAATTATATTTACGATTTAAAATTTTAAAATTAATATTTTATAAAATATCATTATCTAATAAAATGATGACATCAAATATATATTTTTTAAAATTTTAAATTTCTAAAAAATAAATACTTTTAATCTTAAAATATATTTATAATTAATTTTTTTAGGAGATATAATGGTGTGGTTCACTATGGTATATTTGGTGGACGGTCATTATTCGTAAACAGACAATAACACCTCATAAAAAAATTAATATTAAAATTTTAAAAAATAAATACATTTAATTTTAAAAATATATTTAAAATTATTTCTTTATAAAATATCTTTTATAATTCATTATTAATGTACACTACTAGAAATTTAGGCTTTACAGACAATTTTTCATTGATAAAAGCTGAAAATCCATTGATAATAATATTAGCAACGAAAAAATTTCGTTGGTGGTAACTATATCGATAATGTTATTTCGTTGGTAATGATTAAAATTTGTTAGTAATTATTAATGGAAAATCTGTCGATATTATGATGAATTTTTCATCGATAATTACCTATAAAATTTTTTATTGGTAATAAGCATAAAAATGATCACAAAAGAATTTTTTTCATCAGTAAATTCATTGAAAATGGTAAAAATTTCATTGGTAATAATAAAATTTCATCAGTGAAAGTATAATTTCATCAATAATTTAAATAAAAATATTTATAATTATTAAAAAAATGTAATTATTTTTGAATAAATTATAATTTAAACATGTGTAATTATTTAAATATGCTATTATTATTACTTAAAATATCAAATCTAGATAACATCCATCAAATAGATCATAAAACATCCATTAAACATCTATAACATCTATAAAATATCCATCTATAAAAAATCCATAGCATCCATCTATCAAATACCTTATACAAATTCAATAAAAAATGTCATTGTGTTGCTGTTGGACCTCATAATCTAGAATCTTCAATGCTGTCATTAAGTCTAGAATATTGTGATGGTGGAGTTTGTCTGAACCCCATCAATTGCATCATCTGATTTATGAATGACCTAAGCTTAACTCTCAATTTAGTCTTCAACTCATCAATTTGTTCTTCTATGTAAGGCTAATGAGCTTGAGGAGGCATAGATGACAAATCACAAATAGGTTAGATGCTCCTACTGTAGCAGTGGATTGAGTTGAGTGAAGAAGGTCCCCAGATCTATTTGTTAATCCAAAGCCACACACATGAGCGCATGTAGTTTCAACCTCTCTAATAACTTCAGTCCATACTTGTGGATCGAAATCTAGATGATTAGAATAGTCTTTATTGTATTTTTAAGATAATGCAGTAGCGTAGCTTTTTTACAAAAAGTTTAAAATAATAATCATTACTATAGGACCTGTATAATTCACTAAAATATCACAACTTCAAATAGTTTACAACTTTAAGTATAATTTTCACATTTTACAAAGTCATTGCATTTTAATATACACAAGACTATCTAGTTTAATACAAGATTTCCTACAATGTCTTTGCTTTCAATTACTTCACTATATACTTTATCAATAATTACAATAGACAAACAGAATCACAAACGAAAATATGTAATAATTTTTACCTTTCACAAATGTGATTTCATCTAGATAATAAATAGAAACCTTTCACAAATAAGTAGTCATCGTAATATACTATTAACATATATAGTTTATTAATAATCACAATACATAGCCATCATCACAATGCAAAATACGTAATATACGGTAAAGATAGTTGATCAATAATCACAATACACAACTATTATCACAATTCAAAAAATGTAATAGTTTTCACATTTCACAAATATCATCTCATCATAATATACTATAAAGATAGTTAAGCAGCAATTACAATATACAACCAGAAGCACAAAGTAAATTATGCAACAGTTTTCACTTTTTACAAAATTTTGGCATCATAAAACACACAAGATATTATTTATTTTAATAAAGCAAGGCAGCAATTTCAAATTATTCACAGTAATTTGAAAGTCACATTAACTGACAACTTTGGACTTGTTGTCAACAAAGTCATCACATCATCTTGAATGTTTGTGAGTGCGATTGAAAAGTTTTGTAAAGATAGGTTTTCATTGCAACTTAAGTGATTGCATTTGTTTAGACACATTCAATTTATATACTTTATTGACATTTGATGATAAAAAATAACTCGTGAAAAAGATAATACCATTCTTCTTTTTTTTTATGAATAAGAAAAGCAACCTAGTTGCCAGTATACTTTGTAATACTTCATTCTTTTTGTGTCTAATGATTTTGTTTAGCTTTGGCAGAGATGGTTTAGCATTTAGGAGAGCTCCATACATTGTCAATAAGTGCTTCCCAGATTGAAGCTATGAACCACCTCTACTTTATACCTTTGCTCTCTATAATATTATCAATTTCATGCTCTTTCATTGCCAATTCTCTCTCATTGAACAATAAGTCTTTCAATCGATTCTTTGAAATATTGTTCCAAGCTCGTTGAATAAAATTATTATCTGACTCAGCTCACTGACATTTTTTCTAATATAATAAATAGCAATACAATAAGTCGTTGACAATAATTTGAACTTTTAATTCAAATCGAATAAAAATATAAAAAAATAAATATTCATTTACTACCTTAAATTTATAAAATATCATAAACTTAATTGATATAGGTATTCCTAAAATTATTGAGCTAACTAATGATTGCTCAAAACAACTACCAACATTCATTTATTGGTAAGATTAGTTTAACTAAATGAATTCATTAAAAAACAAATAACAATATGAAAAAAATTAATACCTTTTTCCTAACGAAGTAATCTATACCTACTTCTCTAGATCTAAAAGAGTTGGTAACCCTTTGTTTGCCTCTTACTCCTTTACTTAGTTGTCCTCCCTTCTTTTTCTCCAACTAGTGGATCATTGGCTAATCCTGGATTGACATGCTACTTCATTCATGGATCATCTATCATCAATATCGGAAGTGACCGATATGGTCGATCAAATTGTATCTCTGGTGAAACTAACCTGCATGGTAAAGTTGACACGTATGGTGGATCATGCTGTATCGGTTCTGATGATGACCCAATATGTAAAGTATCTCTCATAGATCTTGTCTTAGAACCACCTCAATGGACAGCACTCTTTGCACGATGTCTCAACATTTGATCTATATAGAATAAAAACATTCCATAAGTATTCTAATAACACAAAGAAAAACCAAACATATGTAAATTACTTTAGTAATACAAGATTAAATGAAATTAGCAAAATACATTTAATTTTAGATAAAACAAATAATACAGTGTTATATTTACTTGAGATATATTGTGAACATCGAATAAACATTATATATAGCATTAAAAGTCATACTGCATACTTCAATCGTTGTTAGTAGAAACAAACTCATGTGTTTCATCATCATCATTATCTTTTTCTTCTTCTTCTTCCGCTCTAATCATTTATGTTAAATTTATATCTTTATATTCATCGATGGCAATAAATGTAGGATTATCAAGTTTTTATAAGATAGTAACATTTCGTGGAATAGAAATTTTAACTTCTTAGAACACGTCTTTATTTAAATTAATTATTGGTTCTTCATCTCCATTAACATTTCTTACTTGATATGTATTTTTTACCTTTGTTTTGAATACTGCCCATCAATCATTTCAATTTTTTTTTCTAAAAGGATAACTTGTATAGGAAACTTGTTGTACTTGTGAAGCTAAGACAAATGGTTCATTATTAGCAAGCATTGAATTATATTTAATTTTAACAAGACCAATGGGGATCTACCTTTACCCCATTCTCTATGTCAAACTAATGACATTTAAAAAGTATAACCTTATTTCCTACTTCAAAATACTTTAACTCAATGATATCTTTCAAGATACTATAAAAGTCACGTTGATAATCATTCTAACAATTTCCTTTCATACATACCCCATAATTTATTATTTTTCGAGTTTGGCCATAGTTAACCATATGAAATTTAAAACCATTGACAAAGTAATATTTGAAACACCTAACCATACGTCCAAGGCCATAAGCTATCTCAACTAGACGATAATTAATATTGCCATTTTGTTTTTCAACCTATCCAATTGTAAAACAAAAAAATTTTAATCATTATTTTTAATATGTAATAGCATTAAAATTTCTCTTTACATATGCTAATATATGCTAAACCTTTGCAAATTGTATTAACCATTGCTGGAATCTAACATCACGTTTCTCCAATTCTGCATCACTTATATTTATAAAGTCTCTTTTCATTGATTCATCAAATATCCTATCATTGTCAATTATAAATTAAAAAAATTATGAACTTACTAGAAACATAAATTATAGATTTCACATATTACTTACTCAATATAAGATTTATTTCTTCATAATTCAACCAAACATATAAGAGTGCCTTGGTGTGTTCATTTGTTGATAGCCATGGAGATTTATCTTATGAACCAAATGCTTAGCTAGGATGACTAAAAACTGAATAACGTCCTTCAAATTCCATGACTTTTCTATCATCATTACGTGAAACTTGATTCAATCTTGTTGATACATTTGGATCAAAATAGAATGAGTAAAAAGTGAAAATCTCTTTGATAACATATGCCTCACATATAGATAGTTTAACAAATGTTTGATTGGTACATTTTTTCTTGAGATG